GTACTCGTCCAAGCTCCTTGTCCACATCATCGGGCCGCAATAACTGAAATTCATCCAATAATTCTGGACCAGACGGCAGCGTTGGTGTCTCCCTTAAAACCTCTGAATCAATAGTGGAATCCAGCTCGTGACGAATCTGAGCGATTTTCTCCCTAAAATGCTCGGCAAAGTTGTCACAGCAGGCCTTTGAGGGTGGAATCAGCTCTTCCTTCGGCCCTGGGTGAACCAGGCCTTGCACCACTCGAAAGAGCTCCGCCGGACGGCATTGTGAGGAGGCAATGGAAGCGGAGAAGTGTCTCTTTTTCGCCGCCCTCACCACCACAGCATAGGCCCGATAGTGGGCTCTTAAGTGTGTTCGGTCAGATTCATCCCGTGATTTCCTCCACCTACGCTCTAGCCGTCTCCCAACCTGCTTCATTGCCCTCAATTCTGGAGTGTACCAAGGGGAAGAGCGGGCTCTGCCCGGTGGGAGAGTATGCTTAGGAGCGATCGTGTCTACAGCCCTGGTCATCTCCCCATTCCACAGTTCAACCAGAGCCTCGACAGGAGCACCCGTCTTGTCAGCCAGAAACTCCCCCAGAGCCTTCAGGAATCCTTCCGGATCCATCCGGCTCCGGGGGCGGACCCACACAATCGGGTCTGCACCCTTACAGAGGGAGATGTCGCTCTCGAGCACAAACCTCACTAGGAAGTGATCTGACCATGACAGGGGAGTCAAGCATAAATTCCTCACCCTCAGACCACCCTCTTCCTGCCCCGTCGAGAAAACCAGGTCCAGAGTGTGTCCACGTTCATGGGTCGGGCCGGTGACATGTTGAGACAGCCCCATGGCCATCATGGAGGCCATGAAGTCCTGAGCCGCCCCGGTCAGACTAGCCTCGGCATGGATATTGAAGTCCCCCAGGACCAGCATCCTGGGGGTCCTCAACACCAGGTGTTTATTAATTTGTTTGTTCATTATTTTGGTAACTACATAGATTTTCCCTGTGTTTTCTATGAGCACGGAATGAATGTGAGCTGCCTTTCGAATTCATTGCTGCTTTTCTATTCCTTAGAATCTAAATTAAAATGTTCACTGTGATACTTCCTGGTCACATTTTGAAAAGATTATGGGACTAAGGCTCTGTCTGAGACACTTTAGCATCTTAGGCAAAATATTGAAATATTTCTCATAAGCCAATCCTTGCAATTTCTTCAGATCCATCTTTGGTTCTACAGCTTTGCCATAGTTTTCAATCAGGCTTTCTTTATGTTTCCTCTAACTGTACCTGTCATTCACTCCATCTGTCTCTCAATGAGCTATAATAACTTTGTGCTAAGCCACTTCGCTGTCTGTCCTAGGCAAGAAATAACTATACATATATATTAAGGATAGTGTGGAATCACAATGCCACTCCATAGGCACGTTCAGTCAATTAAGACTGTTGAACACAAGTGCTTGCCCTTGAAACTGTAATTCACATTTGGGGTACCGTATTATTTAATCAAGGGTGGAGCACCTCTCACATTTTCAGTACAAAAGACAAAATGTTCTATGCACATCACTTTGGTTACCATTCTGAACAGAAACATTGATTCAGACAAAGCTCCATGCCTTGGGTCGGAACCAGCACTTCTGCTGTGGTCCTGTTTGATCTGCCGTGAAATCAGGATCCATCAGTCCCACAACGGAAAGCTAACAATTCTGAAAGTGTATTCTGAACACAAGTGGAAATACTGCTTTCTGGATCAGGACGGGTCTTTGGAGCTTCCTGGTGTGCAAGTTTTGTTGACCTGTCCCCTTCTGGAAATAATGGATTTGCTCATTCCAGGTTACTTTTAAGGTCATTGGCTCCCTGCTGTGCTACGAATTGGAGGCACAATTCTTGGTGTTACTTCCTCTAAGGTCTGCAGTTTCTGCCTTTTTCTCCACAGTATTCCAAAACATTTTGGCACACAGACAAGATAAATGAATCATATTGTTCATATAATGTAATACAGTATATCTCTCCATGGATATGTGTTTGATTCTCATTGGAATGTTTGTCTTATATGCCATAGTATATCATGTGTGTTGTGTAATGTCAGTTTTTAAATATATTTCAGCACGATACTTAATTTCTTCCATTAACTTAAGGTGAAAGCCTAACTCTTTGGAGGTCTTTGAGAGTTTCTCATTGATTCTATAGAATGTATGCCCTGGCTTGTTAAATAATGCTATGTTAATAAGGGACTGTATCAAACATTTTATTTTCTGCTGTAAATGGATGCATATAATTTTTGGTGAGAAAATGAGTGGATGTCCATTTGCTATATGTCATCCTAATCTTGCTTCCCTTTTCAGAGGTGCATCCCTCCTTCTCCTTTTACCTTGTTTCCTTACAATTCCTCTTGTCTTTTTTACCCTTTTCCTCATCAATTATAGTTACCTAAAGCCACGACCTTGACAATCCTTCCTTGGTTGCTCCTCATTTTATTCTACTAATTTTCCTTCTGCTATTTCTCCAACCTCTAATTTTCCCTCATTCTGTTTGATGGTAGGTTCTTGTTTGTTTTGTTTTGGCTTTTTTTAATCAAAGCACTTTGGTTGTGTTGAAAACTTTGAGAGATACTGAACTTCATTTACTGTTATGATCAACCAATTGGTTGTAAAATCAATTTTAAATTAGCTCTCAAGCTGTCTCCCACTGACTGGAGATGAAATGATTTTCATAAATAGCAAACTATTTTTAAACATGAAATCTGTCTAGTAAAATCTGTCACATTAACTCTACATTCTGAAATTTCCATAATGTGCACTTTCTTAAAAGCAGTTCTATCTTCAGGCACATAACTAAACTCTGAAAGTGATACTTTAGTCCATGAAAGATGCCAATGAACATTTTATTGTAATTTTAATTGAAGAGAAAAGACCCATTGGAAAAATATTAGAGTATATATAGATCAAAAAAACTTTATTCTTTTGAATCCTTTTGCAGAATTCAAAAATTTGATTTTTCTAGGCAACAAATGACCCTTAATGAACTTTAAAGAAAGAGATTAGCAGAGCATTTTGGCAAATAATGCATTAGAACTAATAAACAAAAAATAATTGGGAAAAGAAAGGTTGCAGCAAATTGACCGCATTAAAATGCACAAAAGATTCAGTTTAACTTGTTTTTTCAACTCATCCCACTTTATTAATCATATCTATATGCATAAGTTCAGTTTTCATGAGCCCAATTCTGAGTTAAGCTTTCAACCCTAAATATTGAAGTGCAGCATTGTTAGGAAAACAGCTTCCTTACTGACAAACGGAAAACATTATCGATTTTCCATGGAAACTCCAATTCAGAGTTGTGTGTGCACACATAGAAGCAGATGGTATTCTTATGTGCACTTGATTTCCCTTTTATTTAAAAGGGCTTTCATTTGGGTCATTGCTTCAAATCTTGCTTTAGGATTCAAAGCATGCATGATGATATCAAAACAGAAACTCAATACAACCAAACTGCAATTGTTGCTCATGATCACCATATAATCTATTTTTCCACATAATGCCTCGTGCAAACTAGAACACTGTGGTAAGTGTCCTTTCAGCCCTCCATTGGCTAAAAATAAAATTTAAAACATCTTTTAAAACATCTCTATTTTTCCCTGAAAAGAATGAAACCTTTGTTTTATGCAAACTGTTGTATCCACAGGGGGAAAAGGGAAAGAAAGGCAAAAAGGGGCCTAAAGGGGAGAAAGGAGAACAGGGTGCCCCGGGATTAGATGCACCTTGCCCATTGGTATGTCTCACTCATGTATTGGAAATGTCTCCTCTTACAGTAGATAATATAGTAGGATGTCATAACAGAAGGAGGAACAAGCTACAGCTTTCTCTGTAATGCTGGTATTCATTCAGAGCAAAGAACCTATTTGTTCAGGATGTTAAAAAAATCTAGCAGACATTTGGCCTCGCTTCTTTTAAAACAACATCTTAAATTGTTAAAATAGAACAGGTATTCATGGCAGATTTGTGCATAATTTTCTGTGTAAGTGCTTGCCTTCAGAATGCTAGTTGTTTATCACATAGCTCAGTTGTCCTTGATACTTGGCTTATTTCTAGGAAGTTAACCTGCCAGCATCATTATTGTTCACCCTCCTTGTTAGCTTGCTCCTCCTTTTCTTTCATTCCTGTTTTGCTTATTCCAGCTAAGTCAATGCAAAAGATATTTCTTAGTAACGCTGCAAGTTAATCTTTACAAACAGGGATTCCGTGGAATTAAGGGGGAAAAAGGGGAGCCAGGCCAGCCAGGCCTGGATGGGCTGGATGCCCCTTGCCAATTGGTACAGTATTGCTCTTTCCTTCCAACCCTGCATGTGATTCCTGTGTTTCCAGTCAGTTGTTTCCAATGTAAAGTTTGCAATGACCGACTTTACATTATACGTCCCCATACATGCATGTGCATGATCAAACTGGCTGATTTGCTGAAAATAACAGCACCCAGAGGTCACGCATCCTATCAACATCTGAAGCGTAACACGAAGCACTTTGCACTTGCATCCCATGGTGGATCTGAGCTTGTTTTATTCCAACGTTTGCAATAAGTATGAGTTCTCCTTCAGGAGTGTTTGTCTTCCCATCCTTGTCAACACCACCCAAATGTTTTCTGCCAGGCTCACAGTGAATGAAGCAGCCCTTTCTGCTGACCCAAGGCAGATACATATGACTGACTGACTGACTGACTGACTGACTGACTGACAGTTTTGCTTGCTTTGCCCATGGGTGTGAATTTTACCTTACCTCACAACCATTTTGAATATGGTTTACCATTCTGAGTCTCGAGTGCGTGGCTTTTCCTTTCTTATAATAGAACTGAGGTAATATTAGTTGTGTTCACTGAAAAAATAAATAACCTGAAACGCACCGGTCTGGAATCAGTAATACACTTCCATTGTAATAGCAACATGAGGTTTCACTGTGCATACAGGCACTCCAAACCACTAAGTTCTCTCATCCCTGCCTGCCTATGGAGACTTGTTAACTTTAGTAGAGGGAATAGCTCCACCCAGGGCTGGCATCAGGTTGGCAAGGCTAGGAGCTTGTCATGGTCCACTTTCCAGAAGGCTGCCTACTGCAGTGTAGAGCCACCTGGCCTCCTACTTTTGCTCCTTGCTGCCTCTTCACATTTCCCTCTCAGAAAGTGAGCAGTAACAAGAATGAGGAAAAGGAAAACAAATGAGTAGCGGTGAGAAGAAGGTACATCCATTGAAGACATCTTACTTCCCAGATTGTGTCTATGAACAGCCCCCTGTTTAAATAAATGAAGCAATGCACACACACCAAGGACTGTAGCCATGAGCTCCACTGCACACACAACCTCTGCTCAGCATTCGAGAGACATTCGAGGCTTAAAGTGTGCCCCAGAAAGAAACCGTGCATGTCAGGCCCATTCCCTGTGTCTCTAGACAAGCTGCCTGCCCACCTGTCCCCACAGAGCCAGCAAGGTCTGGATGAGAGTTCTGTTCATGGTTGGTTGAGCATGTGTAGAACTCTGTGTGATTGCCAGTCCCTGCCTTATCAGGATTCCCAATCCTGCAGAGATTCCGACTTGCATTCTACTCCTCTGTCCAAACCTTCCTGGTTTTAGGCAGAACTGAGGGGTGTGGATCCAGCATGCCCAGAGACATAAGGAATAGGACCAGCATCCATCTCAGTATACGGATTAACCTCTCATACGTTCAAGCAAATATCTAACTAGAGTTATAGAATATGGAATGACTGAGAGCTGTTCCAGTCTGCCTCTTGTCAAGGTAATATTCTGCACATGTAACTCTATTAAGTATGAATAAAAATATTTCCCTGATATTGACAGTGGGAACTTTCTTTTCACACATTTTGAACCGAACACTCCATGGAGGTTTCTTCTGGACTGACCTTATCATGCTTAGAAATCACATTATTCATAAACTATTCATGAGTAACTGAATTCTCACTGATTTCAATGAACCTACTCTAAGTACGATGCAGTATGAATCCAATCCAATGTTTCAAGATTAGGATATAAGTCCTTTTGCCTAAAATTAGATAGACATATAGGAGGCATTGATGGGGAATTGGTCTTGTGGTCCTTGTTTACATAATCAGAGCCCACATAATCAGTTCCACTTTTGACTGGAATGCAATGCACATTTGAAAATAAAATTTATCAGACCTTTGTAAGTAGTTAATGGCCTGCAGCCCAAAGCCCTCAGTGTCTTTGTTTCTTAAATGTTTTCAATGTAACAGTCTTTCCTTTGGAACTTAATTCCCCACAATAGACACAGCAGTTCCTCCACTCTATGTTAGCATGAGTTCAAACTCCTACCTATACTAAAACTCTACTTGTTGATCCTTCTCCTTTGTACCAATCTGGCAACACTCTTTATTTTCAATATTGTCAAACTATAATTTTAAAAACTATTATCTACCCATTTCTAGAAAACTCCAAAGGCTTTTTAATGATTAGCCGTTGATCTGCATGTTTTGATACTGTTTGTAGTTTAAGCACGATTCTTTAAAGGTGAATGTTAAAGTTAAGTAGGTTTTCTTTTAAGCACAGTGTTTCTAATCAAAAATATCAGGAAAATCTTTGAGTATAAACTCCATGTTATATTTTGTTTGCCTCTAATGATAACCTATAGTTCATGTATTTGGTTGCATGCCTTCATCATTCTTGAAAACATGTTTGCTTTTACAGTATCATTTCTGTCTGGAAATAAAGGAAGACTATCCTATGGATATGACCCCATAAGGCAAATTTATTGGCAGCTAACCATATATTTTGTTTGAGTTATTGAAGAGTTCCACAAAAAGGAGTAGGAAATCACCAGGGTTTCTCAGAATTACTAGCAGATAGGCAACCCCAGTGCAAAGAACACAACTGTTCGAATCAGAATTGTAAATAAAAAATGGAACACATTTTGGGGACAGATTTTTCCCATCATTTACAGGCCAATAATGTAAATTATCAGTCTGTTCCCGACTTGGTCATACATGCTAACAATCTCACTGTCGTGTCTAGGTTAAGTGGAATCATACAAACAATCAGAACCAATATTTGTAAATTTAGCCCTAATCCTAAACATTTTCAGTGGTTTGTCATTTTTCAGTGCCAGGGTACTACTATTATTTATGATGTTGCACTGATTCAACAGTAATGGATTATTAACCTAAGCACCAGATTAGAGGGTTAAAAAATAGCAGTTAGTATCTGAAATAAACTCGCTTAAAATTAAGCCAGTGAAGACTATTTCTGAATCTTATTGCTTGAAAGCAGATTCTGGGTGTACATGATAAAATTCTAAACTTCTTTAATGGTTCTGTCTTGGTAAGAATAGACAGGGGCTAAAGCTTTGTATGTGCAGCAGGGCTTTGGGGGACCAATTCCAACTTCACCCCCTGCTGCATCCAACAAACTGCTCAGAACACATTGAAGACCTTTGGGGATGAAACAGGAAATTGGGAATATCCAATATTCACAAGCATTTACACATGTAGATAGAATTATGCAAATAATTACAATAATACATTAAAATACAAAATAACAAAGTATAATTTATTACCCATTAAGAACTTCTAAGCAAATACTAGTTAAGACAATGCCCTTGCCACTCTTTCAGTTAATTCATTTGTTTAATTTTTCTTTCAAATAATGTTAATTTCTTATGAAAATATGGTATAAATGTCAATAACTGAATTAACTTATTCATGGAAGGATAATTCCTATGAACTCCAGATAGAAATGATAGCCTCTTGGTCATGAAAAGAATTTTCTTGAATAATTTATCCTTTCCCAAATCTATCTAGTCCTGCCCAAGTGGACCAACTAGACCAACTCCGTTGCATAATTGATCCTAGACAGTGAATTGTTAAAGGCTGACCATAACATGCTTATTGCTGGATTGGAACCCTAATTGTCCTTCCATTATCACTATTTTATATGGATCACTGTAGATATCAAAGCTATGCATATATTTGCATGAAATAAGGCATTTGTTAATCTTTAAGGTGTTCCTATGATTTCATGCCAACCATTGATGGTGGTGCTGGTGAATTTTTCTTCAACAAATAGGAGGAACACTAAATTATATATATACATATATATGTATTTATATAGAGAGAAAATCCTCATGCATCCCACCCATTCTTCTATTGAACATTAGAATTTTACTCATCTTCCTACATTAGTTTGCAATTTGTGACATATGGAACGGTGTGGGTGTTTGATGTGACTAACTTGAATTTTGTTCTTCAAACAGGGACCAGATGGGTTACCAATGCCTGGCTGTTGGCAGAAGGTGAGTCCTTCAAATGTCTTTATGTTTCTCTATTTTGATCCTCATAGAACCCAAAGCAGCAAAATGTGAACATTAAGTCGGGAGAATTGTAGGATATTAAGCAAATACTTAGACTATAAAAAGGAAAGCGTTTGCTGATTCCCTTGCTGCCTTAACTCACCAGAACATGCTTTGATCAGAGAATTCTGTCACCGTTTTTCTGTTCATGAGAGCAGTGAGTGCCCTGTTCTGTGTGAGGAATGCTGTTCTCACATCTCTTTATCCAACCCAACTTTTAAACAGTTTACACCAATCATTTTAATATTACAATACTAACATTACTGTGATGTTTCTTTTTGTCTCTTTGCAGTGATGAATCTAACTTTGCAAGCATGAAGTTGTATATATAATGCTCCACCTCTTGTATTTATAGTTGAAATGGAACCATTGGTTTTACAAGTCTGAAAAGTCTGAAATATGTTTACATGTAGCTGCTTCCACTTGTTTGCAGTAGTCCATGTGTACATCTATCCTTCACATACATCTGCAATTGGATGAAACATAAACTGTGTGAGAAACTTGCAAGTCAAGTACTAGTCTCTTGACAGAGTTAGTCTCTATTGGGGGGACACTGATAGACATTTGTTGTTTGTGCAGTTTTCCATTTCTGCAGTTTTGTTTTGTTTTGACTTGTGGATTTGCATGGACAAGTGCCATGGACTAGTTTACATGAAATTGTGACCAAATATGAGCTCAGTGCTAGGAAACGTACTGTACCTAATTGCCATTGGAATATAGTGACTTGGCTTCCATATTCACTTGCATAAACTGTATCACTGGTCTATACCCCCCACCCCACCCCATACTCGCTGCGCTGACTAAAATCAAAAGCATGACGTGTGTGCCAAAACAGCTTGTGGTGTGATCATCTCATATGCTACCTTGGTTGCTGCTGTCAATTTCAGTTCAGACACCTGAATTGTTTTTGTTCTTTTTGTCATCTCAAGGGAGTCACACCATGGCTCATTGCAAAAAAATGATAAGAGGAGGAGATTAAGACGATGGTCTCGAATTTGGAGGGAACTGCAGTTCCTTCCGATGGTGGATGGCTTTCAGTCTTCTGAGTTAGGAAACCACCTTTGTCTACAGCAGCAAAAGGTGATCCCTGTTCATCAGCCTCCATTTGCTTGCACTGTTCACAGTCACGAGACATTCACATTGGGTGGATTTCAACATCAGGCCCAGTTGATTATTTACCCAAGAAGGAAAGAAGCATGAAGATCTTGCTTTGTGAGTTGGATGACAAAATTGCAGAGAAATGCCGAATGGATCTTTCGATGATAGTATCAACTGGAGGACAAAATGGCCTTCTTCAAGAATTGGTGCAATATGTGTTTCACATATTGTGTTTTGAGATAGGGGAGAGGGTATTCTTAACAGAAGATACCACAACATGCCTTCCTCTAAAATAATGGAACTGATGTACTTTATATGGCTTGCCATTTGGATTTTAGAAGTTCCTGATGAAAAGACAAGTGCTTGTAGGATTTTGGAAAATTTATTTAATTTTATTTGCTTAACACTTCAGTTCAGTAACTTCTTCTGCATTCATGCTTATGGACACATTTGAAGAACACACTTGTGTTCAATTTCATTCAGTATCAACCTCTTTTTTTGAGATCTGTGATGTCTTTTCCACTACAAAGTGGGAAGCTGATTGTATTTACATGGTTACTTGTTCATTTACCTTTTTTACTGCTATAGTTGACATGTTTTGGGGTTCTGTAGCCCAACAAATGTGGAATATGGAAGAAAAGAATTGTTATTGCATGTTGGTAACAAATTTATTTCAAATGCTTCATTATTTTCATCTGAATTTCAGGCTACAATTCTATATACTTAGTGAGAATGAGCTCCACAGAATGGTTTACTTCTGAGTAGACATGCATTAGAAGTGTGTTGCATATTCTTTTTTAAAAAAATCTTCATTTAACTATTTTGATTGCAACTGCTTAACATCTTTATGTTTAGCCTTATTCTCTTAAAGTACATTTGTAGCCATCCTGAGAAATTAATTTATGTTGCATACTGTGCCACTTTGCTTTAGCAACGTGATAATAATCACTGTCAGTGTTGAAACAGTGATTATACTTTTCTTTATAGTCATGAAAAAATGTTTAATATCTGACCAAATAAGATGTGTCATACACATGTAAACAAACAAAAGAAGTGAGTATGGAATTTTTATCACACACTGATGTGTTCCTGGAAATAAGTATTAGTTGTTGCAAAATGTTCTAGGTGTCCCTTTAAAAGTAGAGGCATAATGATCATGCTACTCATTATTAGCTTGGTATTGTCTTATACCTAGCACTCAATTGGAGCTCTAGAGCTGAGTTCTGTTTTTCATTTCCCTTTCCTTTTAACAAAAAGACTTTTTTTCCCATGTAGATTTATGTTTCCAGTGGGGAAGCAGCATTTCCTCAATGACAACTTTAACACTAAAGGTTTCATCTTAACATTTCTAACAAACATTTTTCAAGGTTTTCGTGATAACTTCTGAGCAACAGTGTGGTTGGGGAAATCAGATGCTCAGGGAATTCAGAGAAAGGGTTATTTCCCTTTGCTACATCTTTTTTGTTGTGATTTTATTCTTATAATGTAATCTGCCTAAGTTAATGGAAAGGTAGGATTGAAAGTTTTCAAATGCCTAAATAAGAGAAATCAAATCAGTTATTGTTTATGTACATGTATGTGAATCTTCTAATTTTAAAACACTTGCAAACAAAATGTAGTGTGTCATCCAATGTCAAACAAGGGAACATTCCCTTGTGTAGCAGGATTTTGCGGTCCAGTTCTCCCCTATGTCCCCCAAATCTTCTCTAGAAGATCCTCCAACTCTAGGGAGCAGATTTGGGGGTCATGTGATGGAGCACGTTGGCAGCAGCAGAGATAACGGGCATGTGTCCATCTTATTGGCAGACAGATACTATTGGCTTTCATCCATCATCTGTTTATATATTAATCTGCAATCAGCTTCTCTGTAATATGAGACATTCATGATGGCATCCCTTATACACTTAATGTATCATTTTAATGCTGGCCCTATGCCAGTGAGTTCATTGGCTTGATTGCCCCAGCTCAAGTTTTAGGATTACATTTACTGGGTTCACACAAGAAGACAGCACCTGGCTCCTGTGGCTTGACTCTTCAGCATCTGCCACAACCTTCCATGGCTTTAAAACACAACCATAGTATACAGGGATCCTGTGAACCCAGTCAGAACTTACAAAGCATTCTCCTTCGGTTAACTAACAAGGGGCCTGTACTCTGAGGCAGTGCATTCCAAGCACATGCTTCATCAGAGTGTTGTATTGCAGGACACTGAAGCACACATGGCTCCATTTATGCCGTTTGTTATTTTAAAACACCAGGGAATGAGCTTTCCTTTGCCAAAAGTAGTGCCCATTTATAGAAGGTTCCCGATAGAGCTAAACAGAGCTGTTTATCTCCTCCATTCCAGCACACATACCTGGGCGGTGCATCAAGAATGGAAAATCAGTGAGCACTTTCTCCTGAACTCTCTTTCTGCTCGGTCAAGTTACACTAACTCTATTGACATTACATGAAGAGGCAGCATGGAGTAGGAAGGCTGGGTGAGGATAGGAGAGCTGCAAACAGAGCTACTAGTTCTTGTAGTGACCTGCAATGCAGTTTGCCAGCATGCCACTAAAGGCAAAGCACCTTTGTTGAACCTCACGGGGGACCCTTACCACTTACGCAGCAAGCACTTGCAAAGAGACGGATATTTTCAATCCGTCTTTGAATGAGCAACAACAAAGCATCTAGCACTACTTTTAGAGTAAAATGAAACTCCTAGATGGTATGATTATGAACCAATTAAACTGTACCAGCTGATATGAAATAATTTGCTCTATACAGTACCTGTACTAGCAACCGTCCTTGGCCATGCATATCTAAGGAAAATGTAGCAAGTGATGTGAATATATGAGCTGATACTCACAGATATTACTCAGTATTGTGGTGTTACTTTCCAGAGACAGGAATTGCAGGAAACATAGTAGATATTTTGATGGCACTCACCCAGCAACGGTCACAATATGTCAGACCTTAGCTGATTTCTTGTCTTCTCTTTTTTAAGCATTTATTTCTCTGTGAGACTGGTATACCTCTTTATTTTAATTCAGATTCACTGTAATTGAACTTTTTCATGGCAGGAGTCCATTCCATAATAATGTTATTATGCCATTATAACAATGGTATTATCCTGGTAGAGCTGTACTGTAAGTTTACTCATCTGTTAGATTGTGAATAACCTTAGCAGGAGTATCCCAAAATGGTGCCTGATTCTTGAAAATATCTAGGACTATCTATATTGCCTGATAAAAGTACAAATATGTGCATTTTGACCATACAGTTACTTTCTAAAGAGAAGCAGTGCCTTTCTGTAGATCTTTTGGAATGCTTTTGATGCTAAAATATTTGTTCTTTTTATAAAGTTTATCTTCTGTTGGCATTTACATCCAGCCAGTATTGTCTTAGTGGTATTCTTCCTATACTTTTCCTTTTCTTTAAAATGTGTAGATTTGGTGGAGTGATCTTTTAAAAATCTCAAATATTGGAAATGGCATGAGCTTACTTACATTCTACACCCCCAGCTTCTTTTTAAGAATTATTTTCCTTTGCTGTCCCACCCTCTGTTGGTGCCAGTCTTCATGGGTGTTTTAACAAAGAGTATGCCTGTAAGCCATGTATTTCAGATTCACCTTTCCTTAGTTCCATAACCTAAGAATCTGCTTTCTTTTAATCTACAGTAACTGAGTAGTTACTATCTTTCAGGATGCATAGAAAACAGTTGACTGAATGGGATAAGGTGCAAATCACAGTTCAACAGAACTAAACATTTCTTTTTCTAATCCATGCATACTTTTAGAATTATCAAAAGACATTATGAAAGGCTTAGTGGTATTAGTGTTCCCTACTGTATCTGTAAGAAGCTTAATCACCCTAATCCAGAGGTTCCAATTTTGTGCCCCCACATCTACTTGTTTATCATGTTCATTTAAAATGGGAGTGGGGAAGAGATCCATGTGGACATAGTTTGTGTTTACAGGGATACCCTCTTCCATTGAGGTGAATGGCCATGTAGGAGCTCCTTGTGAGCATTAAAGCATCCTAAAGCTCTGGAGGTGGAGATGGTATATTTATCCTTGTCACATAATTTTTCTTATGGGAAGTATCAGAATGCCAACGCTTCATACCTATTTACAATAAGTGCATATGCTGTAAAGACTTGAAATACATTGTCCTCCAAAGTCAGTATTATGTACAGTAGTGAAAGTATTTTAGCTTTATGTGGTACTGCAAAGATATCTGTTAGACTTTTCTGTTGTTTCTGGGGTTTTTTAATTAATTTTGGTGCAATTAAAAAGCCCTAAAATGTTAAGACTATTTAAGAACTAGGCAAACATCAATCCAATAACATAATTGTAGGTCCTAATTCACTATTTAAAAACACTGGGTGCAACTCTGATTTATA